TGATCAACCTGAAGATATCGACGAACAGATTCAAGATTTAATCATGCATTACGTCAAACAACCAAATGCGATTATCTTAGCAGTGGTCACAGCAAATACAGATCCCTCGACAAGCGAAAGCCTCAAAATAGCCAAAAATATCGATCCGGAAGGCACAAGATCAATTGCAGTAGTGACTAAGTTGGATCTCATTGATAAAGGTACAACACAAGACGCAGCAGAACTTCTAAGTGGTCACAAAATACCTGTTAAATTAGGCATAATCGGAGTGGTCAACCGAAGTCAAAAAGATATCAACGAAAACAAATCCATCAAGGAAATGTTAAAATCCGAGAAGGAATTTTTAAGTACCAACTACCCAGAGATTTACAAAAAGCACGGTAATCAGGTACTAAGTAATACTTTACAGAATTTATTGTTGACGCATATAAAAAAAACCTATCCAATATTGCGTAACGAATTACACAACAACAAAACACGATTAGAAAATGAATTGAAAATATTACAAACACCAGACCAGAAAGTGTCCTTTATATTAAGTTTATTTAAGGATATTAGTAAATCATACTGTGATACAATCACTGGAAATCGAAAAGATATATCCGAAAATACAATTATAGGAGGTGCAAAAATCGCTCAAATTATAAATCAAGAATATATTTCCATATTAGACGAAATTGATCCACTACTTGATCTATCCGATGAAAAGATAAATAATATTTTGTTGAATTCCGCTGGGACTAACAAAAGATCATTTATTAACGAAAAAGCATTAGAGAAGATGGTTGGCAGACAATTAGAAAATCTTATTGAACCAGCAATGATTTGTGTGGATTCAGTAAGCATTGAAATGTTAAAAATTTTCGATTCTATCGATCAAAGTCTTTTGGAAACACTCAAACGATTTCCAAAAATGAATACAGATGTAAGTAGTAAATAGTCTACATTATATTATAAATTATTCTTAAGTGATTAAGTGACATACTTAATCGATTAAAGTTGTGTATGGGTGTTTTATTTCTATTTTATAATTAAAAACTATATTAACTGTATAAAAAGAGATTTAGGTAATCTAACGGAGTAAATTATATTACAGTAAGAAGTTTAAAACATAACATTCATAATTTTGAACAAAACTACATAGGATCACAATTAATTAATTTTAGTGTTTATTTTCAAACACTGTATATCTCGGTAAATATTAACTTGAAATATTCTTATAAAAAATAATTAATCAAAGGACTACAATATATGAATGTTATAATATGACGTATTATTTGTTAATATTAAAGCAATGACAACTATGCTCAATTAATTGTAATAAACCCACACGTACTTATCTATTGTATAGGATGTGTTGGTTTAATGTATTATGATATACAGAGTATTGTAGATAGAACCAATAGTTATAATAGTTGTAAATGCTAAATTTCTAATTATGTAGGTAAACGTGACATAGTGGTAGGTAACATTCAAATATTACGCGGTTCGTACATTGTACCTACCTACATTATCGTGCCATAACGCAAAGTCCGCATTTAACGATAACCACATCCACCATGTAAAAAGTACGGATACCTGCCTAATGTTCTAATAACAAATTAGATGTTTTTCAGATGTATTCTTGACAATCAATTTTAATAACTTTATTATGCTTCTTGTTGCCTACCGAAGTAAATATAGCCAGAAGCCTCTAAAATGTCTTTATTCAACCAGTGTAATAATTATTAACTATAAATGTAAAATAAAAGTACTTTTTGTTGATTTAAATGATAAAATGTTTAATTTATATACCTTCACATCTTCGCATGCAGGCCCGGCTCAAACGTTTACTTACACCTAAACAAACTTAAGTGTTTCCGCCCTTTACATGTAAATACTACATCAAATATTATTTTTATATAAACAATACGTAAATAGACTTAATTCTGAGTTCATTATATTTATTTATGTAGCGTTAACAATTTATTAAATTAATACACTTGCAGGGACGCCCGGATGGGGGGGGAGCAGTGGGGGCCATTGCCCCCCTGAGATTTTCGCGTCACTTACAAAATTGGAAGTTATTTTACATAAAGCTGATCTTGGGTATTCAGTGACTATTTGACAATCCTTGTATCTAACAAGTATCTAACATTTTTTTAATCAACAAATAATGATTCAATTAATTTATTTGCTTCAAACAAAAGGAGATTGTCATTACTTTTTGAATAAAATAATAAAATATGATGCGAATTCAATCAAATAAAGTTGTTTTTTGCTTAAACTTTATTATATTTTTTCTTATAAATATTAAAACTAATAACTAATAATGTAATTTTATATAAACTTAAATGAGTTTCGATTTTTAAAAAATTATTATTGATAGTAATACAAAAATATGAGTAGATGAAATATGTAGCAGTAAATCTTCCTATAAGTATTTAGGTACTTACAATTTTTTTGCCTCCCCTGAGCTACATTTCTGTGGGCGTCCCTGTACACTTGTATTAAGTAAACCACTACCTACTAATTTAAATAAAACAAAACAGTTTTTTGAGTCTTATTTTTTACTACACATAATTTGATATGAGTAGGTACTAGTAAATGTAATATATTTTTTTAAAAATTATCCATAGTTTAAAAATACCGCCTATGGCGTAGGCCTATGTCGCCTACGTCTTAGTCGGGCCTGTCCGTATGGTTTATCGTATAATACGAAATTATGCTGTCATTAATTAAAGTTTAAAATACTCAAAAAGTTTTCTGCATATACGAGATGGATCACTACAGAATTTTTAAAATCTAAAAACCTACAAGATAATATGATTTATTCGTTTACACTTATATTGCATATACAGTATACAAGTAATATTAATTTGGTTTTAGGTCAGAAATGTACTAAATAAAATGGTAGAAGGCACGGTAATAAGTATTAAAGAATTTGTTCGGTCTTACATTGAAACGTATCAGACTTGTTTAAATACAACAAACTCAGAGTTCATTTCAGAACTAGTCAAGTCGTCTGATGTGATTCGTGAAGTGTTCATGTCGACACCGGGAACGATTAAAAAAGGCACGACGAATGACGAATTTTTGAAGGCTGAAAAGGAACGAATTAAACAGTTATTTAAACAGCTACTATCGGGCCGCAACGATATTGAAACATTAGAGTCTAGTAAACAGGTGAAAATGCATCAGAATCTGACCGATTGTTACTTCAGATACGTGAGGAAAATCGTGCAAGACTTTGTACCCAAACGCATAGTTTATAAGATGGTAAATTATGTCGTGGATAATATCGACCACTATTTGCACGACTTGGTATTTACGCCATACGTGGTCAATCGGATGATCGATCAAGTGCTTGTGGAAGAACAACATGTCATCGATGACAGAAACCGAGCAGTGCTCATGCTCAGCGCTGTCAATAAAGCTCTAAAATCGATTGCGGATATCCAATGCATTTAAATCATGTTTAAACTCGAACATTATCATTTTGTTTAATCATCAATATTATTTTACTACGTTGGAATGATAAAAGTTTTTATGATCTTTAAATCTTTAATACATTTGATTTATTGAATTATTATGATTTGAGTTACGTCATTATGCATTTCATATTATATTGGCGTTATTCTACATTACTAAAAATATTTGTTTAAATATTCAATAATTCATACGAGTAATAATTGGAATACTCAAAATATAGAAATCCAGCGTTTATTACACATTTAATTTCTAGTTCATATTTATCAAAATAAAGGAAGTATATAAAAGTATATAATATAAAAAAATTGTAAGTCATAGGAATTTATGATCCATTAGTCAATTTGAATTCCCAACAAACAGAATTGAAAAATATTTACAAGGTAATGAATGATAAAATGTTCCCTGTTTCCGTGAACATACGGTATAAATATATATCAGTGGCGTATTCAGAATTTTTTTTTTTTTTTTTGGGGGGGGGGGGGGGTTAAAAAATATGTAACATAAATAGAGTAAAGTATAGGGTAAAAATAGAAGTTGGGTATGGGAATATATAAAACGTAAAAGAAATAAAGCATTTTGTGAGTTATGCGACGGAAATAAAATTAATTAATATTCTTGTGTTGGCGGAAAAACAGGGTTCATGATAAGTTTTCGCTATTAGTTTAAATGGAAATCGTCTATATAAATATATAAAATTTCCACATTAAATTTGCAATAGATTTTTGTATACCTGTTACTAATTATTGAGTGAATACTAATTATTATATCCTGTTACTAATTATTGAGTACACATTATAACACTAAAATTCGTGAATACGTAAATAAGTACACGTGAAATAGGGAGCTCTGAATACCATACACGTATTGTACCGAATAGGAAATCGTATTCGGCAATGCAGCACCAAATTTTTTTACACGAAAAATTCACCGGCATCAATTATTGTTCGCGATCGATTCATCGGATACCATAAAACGTAGCCTGCTGACCATTCCGCGTCGGTTCCACCGCGTACACGTGCTTTTAAAAATGCTAAATCAATTATTTTACTTGACCTGCGTGCGGATGATACGATCAGTATTTTCGACGGTCATTCTCAATCCAACCGCAGCCGCCCGTCCGCTTCGAATTTCCGACGGCGGCGCGTACTCGGAGCGTGTGACTATCTAGCGTTGCGGCGTTGTATCGTTTGCGAGGTGGCAACCGCCGGCACCCAAACAGCTGTCGCGACGCAAGTTGCGACAATAATAATACGGTGGCGCGAGCGTGCAACTACCGGCGTGTGGAACAAATTGACGACCGGACTACCCCACCGCGGGTAGTGTGACGGCCCGACGTTATTCGAATGTCATCCGATTACAGGGTTTTCCAACGTTTTCCATTGTTCGACAATCGCCGATATTTTCCCTTCGACCCGTCGCCGTCGGCTGTTGGTCCATTGAGATTTCCCGTCGGCACGTCTCCAAACGGAATCGTTACTCTCTTCTGTTCGTTTTTCTCTTCTCTCCCGTTCTTGATTCGATTGCACCGTGTACCGTATTGGCTTGCCCTTGCGACCGTATCTTCTGCCCATTCGAAGTTTGTGTTTAATCTAAAAAGCGATCCAGAACCCTGCAAACGGTACGTTTTAAAATCTTTAAAGCCGGGTCTAAGCGCTGTCGATCGGTAATCGTTTTCGTTTGATGATTACCGACTTTTTTTTCGATCGTATTAGACCGATGTCCAAATGTTGAACCTGTGTAACTAATGTTTTACCGGGCGTTCATTACCGCGTCGGGCCGGTTGCCTAATGTCGGACGTTCGCCGTAACGAACCGCTTCCTTTGGACGCGATTTTTGTCACTTTCCGAATCGTTTCGTTTCGTGATTTCTGTCACGAAATCCGTGTCGGAATTCCTCGAGAGACAATCCATGTGGATGATTTTGTTTTTTTTTTTCATTTTTTGTTCTCAAGAATCGGGACGGTCAATATTGAAACGAATTCGCGTGTACACAAACGGTTTAGTTTAACTTAGACGGTCGAAATTGATTCCAAGTTTTTACTTCGAAGTCGAAAAATTCTTTTGTGTAATTTAATCTATCGCCCGTGTATTATCTGATGGTATTATCTGAATTATTATTATCCGCGACTTTCTGCTTCTTATTTTTTATAAAGAAATCTATACTGTCCGAACAATTTATATAATTCTTATGTATTTGTTGACTGTACCTTATTTATATTATAAATGACTTAAAAAGTTAACCCATTAAAATGTTATGATTAATTATGTAAATTAGGTATCATATTGCCAATTTATGTATTTATTTTTTTATTCATTAATGCTTGTTATTTTATTAGTTTGATTTATACAAATTTACTGTTTTTAATTATTATCTATTGAATTCTAAAAATACAATTTCAAAACCAAATTAACTTAAATTTTTAAAAAATATTTACTCAAATAATAATAAATAATAATAAAGAAATAGTAATATTTCATAAGTTTTGATATAACATTTTTCTTAATTTTAAAATATATGAGATTCTTAGTTAGTACATGGATTTCAATTTTTTTTATAAATTTTTATTTGATAAAATAATATTTGATCATGTTAAAGTGTAAGGTAAATTCAAAAACATGCAAGCATGTGGGAAAGTAAATTTAAAATAATTTCCAAAATAATCTCTTTAAATGTCCTTTTTGCTTTAATTTTTGTCATTTTTATATATTTTTTAATGAATAAAAGCTATCAACAAAAATCAGAACTTTCATAATTTTAATATAACTATAGAAACCTTATTTTTCATAATTAAAATATATTTATTAATTTTGATTAAGCGTACAAAATTGATTTAAAGTATTATTCATGATAACTTTTGATTTATAAACTTATTCATTTCTGTAGGCTTTTTTTTTTAATTTGTCTTTGTTCGCACATTACAGGAATTCTGTAGGTTGTTTTCATAGTTAAGTAAATTGATTTTACTGCCAATTACAACCAATAATTTAGATATTATTTCTGATTCTATAGAAAATTACCATGGACCAAGAAACATCAACTAATGAAAAATCTGAAATTTATAATGAAGGTAATATTGGTAAAATACAAATGTATCAAATTTATTTGTATCAAAAATTAAAATAGAATATTATAGTTCAGTTGGAATAATGTGGAAAAAGACTTTAAATTAATATTTTAAGAACATCAAATCAAGTTTTTATTAATATTAACTATCTATCTATATAATTTTAGTACAAAAATATTATTTAGATATAATTTATTTTCCATGTGAATAATTCTTTAAATTATACCTATTTAATTTCTATTAATTTATTAAAACTACTAATAACTAATTTTTTGTTATCTGATCAAATGAAGAAAAAGAAGACCAAAATACAACAAATGGAACAAATGTATTTGGTAAGAATTGTAATTATTTTTTCTAAATTTAAAACCTACATCTATGTATAGATGTATAGTATATATGTTACGGGTAGAATACGGAAAAATTGAATATTAAAAGTTTCAATGGTTGTAAATATGTGCAGATTTTAGTCGTAAAAATTATAATTACTGTAATTCATGCAAAAACAATACACAGTTACACAAGATCTTACTGAAATATTATACACGTGTAACATCAAATTGTAACCTTAATTGTAACAACCAAAAATGAAACGCAGTTTGTCATAAGCTGAAAATCAGAATACTACTATATATAATTTATTTATATTTTAATTAGCTGCATTCAGTAAAGACTCGTTCGTCTCTTGGTGGGTTATTTTAAATTTAGAAGCGTTTTCGCTGATGTTTTATTTTTTGAGGGCTTTACAATCAGTGGTTTGTTAATATTAACAACAAAGTGCTGTAAAAATGTGTTTTCTTCCGGTTCTCGTAGACATATAATATATTCCAACTGGCCATATTCCTATGATAAATTTAACGAAATCAAAATATGACATATCTGAAATTAGAAACGTGATAAAAAACAAGTAAATCATAATGAACCAATAAATATTTTTTAAGTGTTGGCTACAAAAAATATCTTTATGTGAAATGGCTAATACATGATCTCCTTTCGGTGGTCAGAGTTTTAAAAAATGTTTGTGTAAAAATAATTGTTTAACAAATAAATGTATGAGTAAATGTAAATCTGGAGAGATATACTCAAAATACTACCTGAATCTGAAATGTTCCAATAAATAACTATATTTAATTTAATTAATTTTTTATATATATAAAATATTAATTTTATAATACATAATTTACTTAATAATTATTTTTTCCGGATTAATTTGATATGGTTTTTATTTCTACTTCATACCTTATCAATAGCACACTGGATAATGTACATATTATATTATTCATATGAATAAAGTGTACTTTACCCGAGTAATGTGTAAACTATCTTCTTATTTTCAAAGTTTACCCCTAACATTTACACAGTCAATTAATTATTTTTGTTAAATACTGATGGTTTGTTTTTATTTTAAAACTTACAACATTTTAAGACTATTTAAAAGATGTCACTAAAAATATATTTTTTAAAAAGAGAACATATTTTGTTAGGTATTTTAATTCATGAAACATTAAAGTTTTTGTTTAATAAGTAATTAACAAATTCTTGGATAGTTTAGTGTATAGTTTCTATCCTTAAAATTATTTATCTATGATTGGTTGGTGCATAAACTAAATCAGAATTAATTTAAAGTAATTTAGGAAAAGATTTTTTTCTTTAAATACATTTTAAGTTTTTGTTAACTGTAAGTTTTCTTATTAATATTTTCAATGCTTATTAGAATAATATAATATACTTTTTCATGGGTTAACTTTTTCCTACAACTTGGAGTAGATCACAGTTTTTTGTTTTATAATAACATAATATCTTAATATAAAGTAGATACAATATATGTATTTTATGTAAAATAAAAATATAAAAAAATACTTTTATCTTTTATGAACGATGATCATTCATGGACAGAATTATTGTATAATGGAACCTAAGTTTAAAATAAAATCATATAATAGTATGGTTTTAAATTTATATATCATATTTTGATTGATTTAATTTTATTTAGATTGTAGTTTTTTCCCTAAAGATCTATTATTAGAAGAAAAACGTTTAAAAGAAGAGCATGAAGAAAAATTTAAAACTGAAGTCAATCTGGTAAATTATTATAATATATTTAATTATTGGTAATTTAAAAAAATAGAAAGGTTATAAAATTTGAAATATTATATTTTATTATTATTTTTATGTTACGTTTATTAGCTAAAGAATTTTGATGAAAATGAAAGAAAAGAAAGATTTCAAAATCTGCTTACACTTTTGGAAAACAGTACAAAATTAACTATGATTTTTGAAAACAGATTAAAAATGTGCAAACAACAAATAATTAAGTTAGTTATTTTTATCTTGAAAATATTATAATCAAATTAAATATGCAGTTTTTAAAACTTTTAAACATTTCAGTAATAAGAAAATATATTTTCTCTTTTAAACACTGAATTAATTTTTTTTTTTTCATAAAATAGTTAATTATTTTATTTTTTTAATTTTATATGCAGAAAGGAATTAGAAAAATCTAAGTTAACCAAGAAAAATATTTTGTCTAAAGAAGCGGGACTGACTAAAAAAAGTGAGGTATATACAGTATATTTTGCTTTAGTATGAATTATACAGTACTTATGACTGTACTATCACTAGTACATATATATTATAGTTTACACAAATTACATTTTATTCAAATATGGCTGTAAGAAATAAATGTGTTTAAATAAATCTATTAGGAATAAGATCTCAATAATTAAGGGAATATAAGAATGATTTAAAAAAAAGTTAGATTGTGTAGTATCTACTCTTACTCATATTCATAAATTGTTAAAGATTAAATTGTTTTTACTTTTAACTTAAAGTTTTGATTCTTAGGGCATTGATGAAGAAAAGTGTTATTATAATTTATTTCAACAACCAAAATTATTTGTAGGAAGTCTCAAAAATCATCAAATTGAAGGTCTTTTGTGGATTAGAGTATGTATATACATGTATAATAATTATATTTGTTTTTAGTAATAAATATTAAGAAAAATAATGAAATTAAAGTATTTATTATAATTTAGATAATCGATCAAATGTGTTAAGATATTGATTAATATAATTTTGATTGTGTTTTATTTAAAAATTATATTGCTATTGTATTTTATCAATTCAAAAAAAATTTGCAACTTTGTTTTAGACTTTGTTTGAAAATGGTATGAATGGTATTTTAGCTGATGATATGGGACTAGGAAAAACCATTCAAACTATAGCTTTTTACTGTTTTCTTATTGAAATGGGAGTAATGGGACCATTTTTAATTATTGCGCCTCTATCTACTATTCCTAATTGGTTGTCTGAATTTTCAAAATTCGCTCCACAGGTACATAATTAAATTTATAATTACAGCTTACTAGTTTTCAAAATTGTTTCATATTTATTTATTATTTTAAGCTTTCTACTATATTGTATCATGGAACAGCAAGTGACCGCTTCAAAAACCGATCACAGTTCAAAAAAACCATTAAAATAAATAATTTAACTTGTTATCCTGTCATAATTACAACATTTGAAGTGATACGGGTTGACATAAACTATTTGAAAAATATTGATTGGAAATTTATAACAATTGATGAAGGTCACAAACTAAAAAATTTTAGTACAGATATATCACAGTATGTAAAATATATTTTCAATATTAGTTATTTTTAATTCATTAACAATAGTATATATCTAGATGTATGCGTCAATTTTCATGTTCTAACAAATTGATACTAACTGGGACACCCATTCAGAATGATATGACTGAGTTATGGTCATTATTAAATTTACTAATGCCAAAAATATTTGATAAATTAGAAGATTTTAACTCTTGGTTTGTAATAGATGACTTTTTTGATTCAAATGACAAAATTGCTATTATGGCAAAAAAAGATAAAATTCTGGACATTATTCTTCAGGTAAATCAATTTAATTTTATATTAATTTAAAAGTTAAAATAAAATAATTATCAATACTAGAAGAGTCTATTAACTACAAGTTATTTAAAATTATAGCTTAAGCTTTGTTGTCATAAACACCATCCCCATGCAAAAATTAATTAAAATTTAAGTTAAACTTCAAAATATAGACTTAGTTTTATTTTATATTTATAAACAATCTTTTTCACACTTTATTCTTATAATTTTAGAATAATTAAATTTATTATTTAAAAAACAATTACAATAACTATAAAATATATGAAAACTCAAGATATAAGAGTAATTACAGTTTGAAAATAAACAACATTTTACCTTTATGAGTATTATTGAATAATAAAAAATAATTTATTATTAACAATTTGTTAATGTTTTTACTTATTAGATATTAAGACCTTTTATTTTAAGACGAGAAAAAACAGAAACTGATTTAAATCTACCGCCAAAAAAAGAAATCATAATTTATGCTCCAATGACAGAATACCAACAAGAATTATATAAAGCAACATTGAATAAGCATATGGAAATATTATTAAATAAAGAGGTGATATTACTTTATTAATATAAACTACTGTTTGTTTTTATTTTAATTATTGGTACAATAATTTCTTTTATCTTTAATTTAAATACTTACTCTATCTATTAAATATTTTGAAATATATGGAGTAATAAAACTTAATTTTTTGTACTTGTTGTAGGCTACTATATTAAATATTGAGTTATCAGGCATATTTTTTATATTATAAAACATATTTTTATATCATAAAACATTTTATATTAAATCTAAATAATCATTACTTTATCAGAAAGATTTTTCTTAACTTATTAAATAATCTTCTATTAGAATATAAAAAAATTTAATAATTTGAAAAATTTTTGTTTCAATAAATTGTATTAATATGTAAAAATATCAAGAAAATAATGGATTTTAAAAAATTAATCAATGAAGAAAATGTAATGTATTATTAATAATTTAATTTTCAGGATAATAATATTACTATTTATGAACAAAAGCCCAAAAGAAAATGTGTTGAAAAAATTATTAAATACACACAATTAAATGCTATAGTTAAAGAAGAACCAATACAAGAAGAGTAAGTGCGCTGTATTATTTTAATATAAATATTTTATGTAAAAATAATATGTGTTAATTATTAATAATATATTATAAATTCCTATGTAGCTACAATAACATTTAATGTATTTGATTTGATAGAAAAAATTATTAAAACAATCTTGCCAAATCATATACTTTTTAATAATAAATGACTGAAACTAAAAAAATTAATTTCAAATTTTACCCATGTAAAATCAAATCCATTATTCTAATTTTATTAAATTATTCATTTGTCTATAATTTAATTTCAGGGCGAAAATTGCAGATATGGCAATTTCAGTTATTATGCAAAATCCTTTTATGCAATTAAAAAAAATAGCTAATCACCCTTATCTTGTCCATATGCCTTTAATTCCAGGAACAAAACAAGTTCTCATTGATGAAAACATTGTTAAAGTTAGTGGTAAATTTCAAGTTTTAGATGCAATGTTATCAAAATTAAAGTTACTTGGTCACAAGGTAATATATAAATAAGTTTATGTATTATATTTTTATTTATATTTACTAGCACTAAGTAATTTTTTGACACTTTATATTTTTTTACAAATATTTCATAATTTAGGTGTTGTTATTTTCTACAATGACTCAAATATTAGATGTAATTGAAGAATTTATAATTTTACGTTCATACAAGTTTACTAGGCTGGATGGTTCTATGAATATAGTTGATAGAATGACTGCAATGACTATGTTTAATACTGATCCAAATTGTTTTTTAATGTTGATTTCAACTCGTGCTGGTGGACTGGGCTTAAATTTAACATCAGCAGATACTGTTATTATATTCGACAGTGACTGGGTATGGTTTGTTCTAAAAATACTTTAAATATTTTACTAATTAAGTAAACTAACTAATTAAGCTTTGTTAACATTTAAAAGATTATCATTGTAAAAAAAAAATGGTTTATCAATAAGATTTTATTTTAGAATCCCCAATGTGATTTACAAGCTCAAGACAGGTGTCATAGAATGGGACAAAATAAACCTGTTGTTGTATACCGTTTGTGTTCGAAGAACACTGTTGATGAAAAAATATTGGATCGTGCTGGTGCAAAAAGAAAATTAGAAAAAATGATAATGGGCAATGGTAAGTATAGTAATTATATTTATAAGTTTGATGTAAAATCCTAGTATTCAACTTATTAGAATAGTCTACAATTAAAATATTTCAATTTATCGGTTCATTTTTATAATTGAAAGAAAAATATGATTTAAATCCTAATTGCTGTATTTAAAAGGTTTTTAAATTTTTTTGAGATATTATTTTTAAGATTTAAAGTTTTGTTCTAAACATTCCATATGTACGACAAGTTATTTTATTCGTTATTTATAGTTCCTAATTTTAAGATTTTATTTTGTAAACTTAAACTAACAAAGTATTATTAAATTTTGAATAAAAGCATGTTTACATATTTGATTTAGTAAGAAGTATTTCATTTATTTTAATTATTTTAAAACATAATAAATTATTTTTTTTAATAATACATCTAACTAGGTATAATAGAACATTAGTAATATAAATTATACATGTATATTATTTCAATAATTGCAGGTACATTTAACAGAAATACAAAATTAAGTGTAGCTGGTATTGAAGAATTAATGAATTTATTAGAATCATCTGAGTATACAAAAAAAATACAATCAAATGGATTTAGTGAGTCTTCTAATTTTGTTTTAGTAGTTAATTTATTGTAAAACATAACAATATTTCATCTTCGTGTTTTTTTTTTTAGTTTTTACTGATGAAGAATTGGATGCCCTTTTGGATAGATCTGATATGGTTGAATCAGTACCAAAGATTAATATTAGTAAACCTACAGAGCACTTTAAGGTTTTATCTAATTCCTAAATGTTTGATTTATAAGCCAGCCAAATTTATTTCATAAAGTGTATTATTTTTTTTTCTCTTTTTTTTTTACTTATTATATTCTTAGAAGTAGAAGATTATTAAATTGTGATAAAACGACTTAAAAGTATTATTTTTTACTCACTAGTATTATACATTTATTTGAATATGTTTTTTAATTATATTTTTCATTGCTTTATACCATTTTAAATGAGTAATATTTTATTGTATCTGTAGTCAACATTTATTTGTTAAATTTACTTAGATTTGTACGCAATAAAGTTAATTTTTTATTTCATTTATAAATTACTAATTATTATTCATTTCTAAAAATGTTTTAATTCTTGCTTTAATATGTGTCATAGTTTCTTTGGTTTTTTCAATTACAAATAATCACAAATAAGCTAAGTTCTGCGAATGGATTCATTGACTGATAATAACAAATGGTTAATAGGCTTTTAATTTTTTAATTTTTAACTACAAGCCATTCTCCCATCCTCATCATTGCCAGTGAATGAATTGTTGTATATTGTATGTGGTTTAAATAACATTAGTGTTCCTATAGTAATAGTGTTGAAGGTTTTGCTTATAATCGATTTGTTTCATCTGGGTTGTATCTATTAAAATTTCAAACTGTATTTTTGGATACCACAACTTCCACAATAATTTCAACAAAATACGGTAATGTAAATGTTTCATAATTAAAATCTTATTGTATTAATTTTAGAGGATATAGTATCTTATGAGCAGCCAGAGTTGCAGTGTCACAGACAACATACCTGTACATTTATTTTAATTTTTATTTTGGTACATAAATATGCAAAAAAATTGTCTTGTCCAAATATATAGTACTTGTAATAATTTGTAAAGATTAGGAAATACATATTTTTCAATAGATTTTCTTATATCTTCAATATCAAATTTTTCGTTTACTGTTTTCAAAGTTTTTTACTACAATCATTTTAGCCATTTACGATTTAATCCCAATATTTAATAAATCCTGAAATCATACGTGCATTGTAGCAAAATTCAAATATGATCATAGCCTCACAGTATATTTTTAATAATTGTTTAGTTACTTTATAGTGGTTTGTGAGATTCAGAAGTAATACTAAAAGTACCTATTAGTCATTAGAATTAAAAAAACATAAAAATAATATTAAAAGTGTAAAATGATTTTGTGAGTATCATAGAGACACACAACAAAGTGAAAACTTTAATTTTAGTTAAAAGATTTTATAGAATTTTACTTACTGGTAGATGCAGATATTTCTCCATTAGGTTCACAATTGGTTGTTTTTTTGTTATATTTATATTTTTCAAACATTGAAAACATTTTGTTATGAGTTTATCAGTGTATGGACTATGACTAAATGACTTATAAAACAAAATAATTCAAATGATTCTTTCAAATAAACTTACGAATTCACATGTTCACGATTATACGGCATAAATGTTAGTGTTATGGAGTGAAAGACTGTTCGAGTGGTTGATCGTTAATGAATGGACTCTGCCACCCTGGCAGTACGCACTGTACACTTATGCAGACGAATAATACAATCAAATAGCAATTTGAAAACATTTGACAATGTTATAAATATAATTATAAAATAGTGGCAATAGTGGATTGGGGTTTGTCTTAAGGACACAGAGTATTGACTAATATATTTTGTCACACTAAAAATGCGTCCAGCAATGTTCTCGCCGAATGGGTGTTGCTACGGTATTTACAAATGAATAAAATAATCTAAATCTAAAATGTTCACTATGATTTTATATAACGTCTTACCTGTCTACACACACTAATTTTTCGTTGCAATACCACATAATTAGTTTTTTAAATAATAATATTATTTTTAAATATAAATTAAAAATTACATATAAAAAATTGTTTTTTTTTATACACAATGACTATTAAAATTTAAATAAACAAGAACAAATTTGGGGGTTCTAGGCACACCCAAACACCCCCTCTCCCAAATTTCGCCTATGAAATATCTTCAGCCAGATTTCAATGTAATATTTCCGAGATAGTAACATGTACTTTTGCTAAAATGTTGTTGAACAGAAATTAAGAATTTGTAATGTTTTAGATTTTTATTGTTAGTTATCATATAAAAATAATCCGTAATAGAACCATAGTCTGTCAGAACTATTTTTCACAAATCCTTTGAGTCAATTCTGGTTTTAACTAGTTAAAATGATCTATATCCAAGTCGAATCTTGTTTCATATCGTTCGTTTCAAGTGAGTGTACAGGCGGACGACATGAAACGTGAAACGACATTTATGGGCCGGGAGTTAAATGATTTTGATTGTTCTCTCTTGCGGTCCGCACTAAAAAATATACGCGATAATAGTCGATTGCATATGCACAAAGACGATTTGAATAGCGAACCCAGAGCGAAAGCATTTTTCACTTTTCATGTTATCAATTCGTCCGTTATCAGCAGAGTTGTTCGCAGATTTTCGTCCGTCTACTTTTTCGCTCATATTGTTGTTATCATGACAAATATCGAATCGATAATATGTGTAACTGCGCTGATTGCGCGAGGCTCTCGTTGTACGTAAACTGTTTTACTTAGGAATTCTTCTTCGTATAAAAGCCGAGGGTAGATCGGTCCACCGTAAGCAGAAGCGTTCGAGCGGTCATGGAACTGGACAACAAATATATAACGATCGTTCCCGTCGAATATCCTCGAAACAGACAACAGTTCATTCGGCCACCGGATGAGTATAGGTGAGACGCGATAGCATTGAAAGTACATTCTTGTAACTCATTGGCTTCGTTTGTTGTAGCGACTTTCCTCAAAATCGAAACTGGCCGCACACAAGGGCTGTCCGGACTGAGTCGTCCAGCACGATGCGCAGGAAAGAACTGAAACGGTCATTGGAGCACAAGCGATCGCACAGTCATTCCCGCACTGAGCACATACAACCGTGTCTGAAGCCCATCATTAGTGCTCCGCTCGCGTTCCAGACGGCGCCCAAGCCCAAAAAGAGACGTTAGTATTGTCACAAAACCACTGTTATTCATAAGCATTGTCCACTGCATAATGAAAATGTGCTATGTTATAATGTCAGAAACACTGAATTAGTTGTCGTGTACAGCGGTGGATTGGCCCACCAGGATTCTGGGAAAGTTCCTGGTAGGCCAATAGTCGTATTATAACACTGGGCCGATGTACTTGGATTAAAAATTATTTTATAGAAATAATTTATTTTAGTATATTGTATTTAACTGTATGATTGTGATAAAAACTTAGTGTAAACATGATGTAAACAGTTCTACGAGCATTTTATCCATGAATTTATGAGACTTATGGAAAATTATTATTATTGGATGGTGGGCCGGTTATATGGTAATTTCCCGCGTCGAAATGTTTAGCCAATCCGCCGCTGGTCGTGTATAGCATTTTTTTTTTTTTTGGTAACTTCTTGTTTACTCATATTCATTCAGTCAGGCTGCTTCAGTACATGCAAGTTAGTGAGCAAGTGGCTTTTAGTACATGTTATTTTATGCAATACAGTTATATTCTCTATATAACTATTTCATTTCCAAAATATTTGTCTTTAGATTTGCAAATAATTTTCTTTTTTTTTTAAAGAATTTGAAAAGCTGTGGAATTTAATTTGGAATGTTTTTTTTAAAAATTTAATAATGGCAAAATATAGCCAATTTATTTTCTAATTAATTTAATATTTATAGTCAAATGTTTACAATAGTTTTTGATTTTATTTTGTTTTTTTATAGCACTAGGAGTTTATATTTACACCATGGCTGATGTAGTATTACACATGGATATAGAAGATGCTAATACAACTACGGTATCGGATCTTGTTGACATTATTATACAGCCAAAAAATTTAGGATTATCTAGAGCAGCTAAAAATATATTTACAATTTGGATGAAATCAAATGTTTTAGGTAATTTTTAAACCATAATTATTTCACCATACGAGTTAAATAAAATGTATTGTTATAATTTTTTTTTAGAAGTCCAATTAAAACCTTATCATAAATTATTAACTATTTATCAAAAATGGGGTTCACTTGAAGAAAAATATTGTATTCGAACAAAAAAAGTTATATTCAAGGAACCCATTTTGAGTTTTCAGAGAAATGTATTTTTTCCAAGAAAAGACGAAGAAAAAATTAAGTATGTATATTGACTGTTAAAAATATAAATATTTTATATTTTAATAACTTATTTACAGGGACCAAAAAATTATTGAGCTGTTATATGCCGAAGCTAAATATAATGTATTACAAGGTCGGTATCCAGTTGAAGTTAATCACTGTTTAATGTTGGCCAGTTTACAATGTCGGATAGAACTAGGCCCGAATAATTTACAACAATACACGTCAAGTTTTTTTAGGTAATAAAATTGATTTTTATTGTATTTGTGTTATAAGAGTTTTTCATTTTATATTCAAATTCCTTTATAGAAATAACCGAGAAAAATTTTTACCCTCACACTTATATAAAAGCTGGTCAACGTGGTTAAATCTTGATCGAAAAAGTACACCACATTCTCGTCTTGCAGATCATTTGAAACATATACAAATTACTGGTTCTGACCGCAAACTTTATCATAAATATTTGGAATGTTGTTACATGCTGCCATTTTATGGGTAACATTTACCATATATCATAAAATATTTAATATTAAAACTTTGATTTTTAATAATGGAAAAATTGAATAATTTATGTATATATTAAATTTAAATATTCCAGAATTTTTATTAAATTACATTGCAATTATCAATTTTTCCCCTAAGTTAATTTTACTTTAGTATAATTATTAACTATTAGATTTTAAGTGGTGTTATATTAATAATGATGCAAATATTTTTAGGTGTGCTTTCTTTCATGGCCAAATTGAACAACCAGTACGAGGACTTATGTCCCTAATTAACCATAAAGATGTACCTATCTATGTTGCAGTCAATACTGAAGGAGTTTATATCTTAGATTGTGTTGAAAATGTAAATACAATTATATATTTAAAAAAATTAAATTGGCTAATTACTGAGTTCATGGATTTGTTTTAGAGCTTATTGCTAGGCCTGAAGTATCAAGATTTTTCATGGGAATTTGCAAAACCATCCCAAGAAGACAATGAACATTGTTTGCCATGCATATTTCTACAGTTTCTTTTGTTGGAAAATGGAACAAGAGTTTCAAAAATTTTGCAAGTTTTTTCCAAACAAGTAAATAATTAATTTTGCTTTTGTATCAAAATGTCAAATTTGAATCGTGAACCAAAATGTAAAATTCTAATTTTTAGGCTGTCATGATCGATGCATTAATCGCTTGTTTTGTTGAAGACTTCAGACATAAATTAGCCATGAACGAATATGATGATGTGGACAGAACTGGTGGTTTCGAACATATTTCTGTTGGAGACGGTAATTTAATGGCTCATACAAAAATATGATTGATTGATTATTGTTGTTGTGTATTTTTTTTTTAGGTTCTCAAATACCCTTAGCACATTTGTACCGAAGCGAACCACAATCCAGATTATGTAATAAACTGAATAAGTTAACACTAGCAACATTTGATGAAGATGGTATGTTTGTTTAAAATAGCAGTGGATATTTTTTTTCATTCATTTATAGCATGTATTCAGCATTAAAAGAACTTTACAGACTAAAATGATTCATTCATATATATTCAATACTATGCATGATTATGTAGACTTTTTATCAATGTAACCTACAATAATAGGATGAAGTAAGTTCCTAATTTTAGTTTTTCCATTTGTAACCGACCATCAATTAAGCGTAATAATCATGTACTTTGGCACTTTAGATTTAGGTATTATAAGTAAATAATTTTCATTGATGGTCTATAAAGCAGAACGGTAATGTTGTTAACTATATTGAATTTGTGGAATTTATTTGAATTTATGTTTATAGTAAATTGTTACCTTACTAACTTATGCTACTAGTCTACAGCAGCTTGTGTTAAATGAGAATATTTGAATACGCTTTGTATTGGAAAATAATTTTCAACTCTAGTTGTTAATTTTTTTTTTTTTTAGTTTTGTGTTTCTATGCTTAAACATAAATTTGTTTTTTTAATTATGTAACAATAATATCTACAGTTACATTAAATTAAATTAAAATTTGCTTTTAAATAACAGCATATGATTTTAATATTTAATACCTTTTTTGTGTGCTTTATATCACTATTGCTTTTTATATTTTTTCTTATAAAATACTATTAATTTAATTTATCAACTAAGATCTTTTATAATTAATATATTTGCATTATTTTAAACCATAACCAGAAGTGAATGATGATTTTGTACTTTATATTTTTAGGTCATTGCATTGGACAAATGGGATCTTGGTCATTCAGCTACTAAACAATTGCACAGATCTCTTAAATTATTTCAAAATTATTTTATAAATATTTCCAGATCTCTTTAAGGCCATCCTTTCGTTGTTTAATTTTAATTTTTCTGTTATTTAACGCTACCTTACCAAGTTGTTATTATTACCATTAGCTAGTCACTTATGTTTATATATATTTTTAGAGTTTTACATTCCACATTTTTCTCTCAAATTTATAATTTATTTTTGATTAGATTTAAAATTGAAGGTTTTTGTTGAAGTTATCAATTATTATATGATCTAGCTTCAAGTATTCAATTAAAAATAATTTAAATATTTTTTGCTCGTGTTAACTATTTTAAACATTAGTAATAACCTTTAAGATTCAATATAGAAGTTAATGAAATGTTTAAATATAATTATATTTAACCACTTTCTAGTTATATCTATATGTTAATGTGAAACTCATAAACTTTTATTTAAATTACTATTTTTATGTTTATATTTTTAATTTTAGAAGAATATATTGATTAATATATTTAAATTAATATATTAATTAACAACTGAATGCAATTTATGGTTTGCTAAAACCTAATTGTTTATGTTAATGAAAGTCCTATTTAATATAATTGTAACTTAGATCAAAAAACGCTTTTAAACATTTTATTTTTATTATTTTACTCTAGCTATGATTTGATTAATAATATGATTAATATTTATTTTATTTGCAGGTGTTATAAATATTTAAATAAATACAAAAGGTTGAATTTTTTTTCTTACATACTAATTTTTTTGATTACTTGACATTATCCTTTTATTTTAACTTTATGACTGCATTGATTCCTTTACAAATAATTATAGTTATAACTACAAAATTTTAAAGTAACATAAGTTAGGTTATTGATATTGTTTGTATGTAAAATTTCAACCAATACATGTTGTACAAAGTGTAGGTACTCACAATATTAAAGAAAAAAAAACTAATAGTTAATTGGTTTAACTTGGCAAATAATATCTTATATCAATTAATTGAGTAATAATCTCTAACTTAGACCCTGTAGGATAACATTTAATTAATAGCTTAGATGTATAATAATTAGAAGTATTAACTAACTAACCTAACTTAGAAGTATTTGATGAAACTGAATGTAGGTTAAATTTAATATAATGTCGGACGTAAAACTAAATTATAAAAATACAATTAATTAAAAACTTGTTTGTGTACTGTGGTGAAATATAAAAACATTTTAAATTTATTATTTCTCCAATATTATTGTTATACATAACCGTAAAGAAAGGAAATATTACATTAATGGTTTAATATTTATGGTTCAAAGTCTTCTTTATCATAAATATTGTTTATGAAATGAATGTCATTTAATCCCTCTCTATTTCTTGCAAGTTCAATGGCATAAAACTGTATTCTAATAACAATAAAACTGTTGCTCTCAGTGTAATCTCCATGTACGTCCTTTCTGATTAAAGTACCAAAGTTGTAGTTTTCCATATTTTTATAAAGCTCGCAGAATCTTCTCCATTTCTGAATAAAAAAAAATGTTTTTATTTGAGTATTGCAAAACTTAATTAATGTAAGATCACAAACTGAATAATATATATATGAAACATTTGACTTTAGTGTAAAACTCACAGAAAAATTCAATGGCTAACATATAAAGAACATACAATATTATTGTTATCTACCTTTTTTTTTTTTAGTGTTATTAAAAAAAAATTGGCCATAAAAGTACAGATAATTATATAACATAATATAAGATGTAAAAATCTTACAATTTTAAAAGCGTCGTTTTTAATATCATCTTCATTCAGAACTTCTATTTGTAGGTCGGGAAATAATCGTCTAAATTCTTTGTAAATCTTATCATCATGTGGAGTCAGTCTTAACAATTTCGGATCAACTGAACATATTAACTGAAATAAAAATAAAAAAAATAATATAATATATAACAAAATATTTAGTATTACAGTCATGTTTTCATTAAATTAAAACAAATTGAACAGCATTCATCATATAGATATACCCCAAGTAAAAAAAAATGTTTATGGTTTCAAGTAGAGTAAGTAGTTTTGGCATTCATATAGCAGGTGATCTGTGAATTCAGGACAAGTGATCTACATTTTAATAGTATAAAACCCATTGTACTTTTTATTACGAGTATGTCATATCATACTAATATTCGTCAAACATAAAAATAAAAAATAATTAGCCAAATATAATTATAATTTCTATTACAGTAAACATTTAATAAAATTCAGACCAACGAACAATTTGTAACTAACCTACCCAGCAACATTGCTAATGACTCATAGTTATATTATGTCATTAATCGTTATCGCAATACTGTCCCACTACGGTCTACGATAATGTGCGTATAATAATAGATAATAATACAATAGATCACCTGATACACCTAAAAAAAGGCCGTAAATCACCTGCTACACGAATGCCGTAATTTCAAGTATAGAAAGAGGCAATTAAAAAATAATGTTAGTTAACAATCGAAAAAGAGTGAAGTATTTAATATTTACACAAAAAAATTTGTCATATATTTGGTAAGATAATACATGTTATATTATTATGATAAAGAGTAATTTTAATAATCCATCACTACAAATGCTTTGTTAACATTTAGGTTATTAAACAATTTTCTGTTTACTTACATTAAAATATATTTCGGCATGTTCATAAGCTTTAATGGCCCACATCATTTCGACTTTTCCCTAAAAACACAAATACATGAATGATATCAAAATGATCTATAATTTAAATAACGATCAATGCTTACATCATTTCCGTATTCATCGGCAGGTCTTGAAAGTAAACTTGCACCCGCTGACAGTTCTGCAGCTCCCTGAGAAAAAAATTTATATTAAACTCTAATTGTTGTCATATCTAAGACTGTACATTAAGTCATATATATACAAGTATTAATTTAAGTTAAACATTATTTTAAATTAAAATAGTCTTGGTTTCCATTTTTTTCTTATTGATAAGGTAGTTTAGATTAACGTAGCAATTAAGCCTAGTTTAAGCATGTAAATCATTAACTTCTACAACTGTTTGATGAGTAGACAATATTCACAGTAAATAGAACTTATAGATTTACACGGATGTTACAACGTGCCGTCACGTCAAATAAAACTTTCCGCCCAAGTCGTTAAAACATAACAAAACAGCTCCTGGCCTTAGTGAACGTACGGATATTCGTCTTTGTTTCGCCGACCAACACATGTCGCGTTCGATGAACGGATTCGAGTCGTGATCGTTTTGCAGTGTGCACGAGCAGAATGTGAATACAAATAAAGGATAACTTGCAAAAACTTACCACGCCGTTGGCAACGGTCATGTTGTCCATGTTTGAGCGGAACGTTGAACACACAACAGCAATGGATGTGCAATACGTACAACAGCAAAGCGATCCGTCCGGTTGTCGCCCGCAGCTGTTATGAAGTACAAAAAAAAATGGCGGAAAACGTCGACCGAAGAAGTAGTCGATGGACTCGTACGTTAAGGGGTTGACAACGAAAACACAGAACGCTGTTGGGTAACGAACACGAGACTCGTGTGAGACGCACCGAGGGAGATTAATAGGACGCCGTTGTGTGATAACGGATCACGTGAGCAAAATTACTCAGTGATAACCGTGCCCAACACGGCAATCGTTTTGTCAATCGTAACGATCAAAACAATATGATTAGAATTGAAATACTTAATATTATATTAAAACAGTGCTCGACTTAAGGGAGGACGCAGGGGGCGGAGTACCCCAACTAATTTTCAGAAATATTGGCGTTTCCCTACTATTATTACGCTATAATCATAACGCTCAGCCAGTTTTGGGGATGTTCTTTTTTTTAAAGTAAATAGAGTCCCCCTTCTTTAATTTTGCCAAGTCGAGCACTGTTAATATATAAAAATTATATGCAACATCGAGAGACGCGGATCTACAAATCAAATTGGATGAGGGGGGGGGGGTAATTTTTTCGAAAGGACAAAAAGATAATACCTACACAAATACAGAATACCTAATGAAAGTAAATTATTAATTAAAATCTAGAACTTAATTAATAAATAAAATTTTTAAATTAAACCATAAAGTATAATCTTCTTTGTTTTGTTTTTGCAAATTCAGAAATAATATCATCAACATTTATGGGTATATTTTTGTGAAATTCTCATCTCAGATAAGTTACATTTCCGTCAAAGGTCGAACACTCGAACATTTTCGTAGATTTACTATTATATTCATATTCACTCGCCAAAAATATCAGTAAGCTTATAATTGCTACTAATATTCTTAGAAGTTGGATGGAAATTATGATTTTACGAACAAGTGGTGATGTAGTTTAAATATATATGAATAGAATATGTTATACTTATAACATTTTTATTGCAAGAAAAATCTAATTGAAAAAAATTAAAAACGCAATTTATGCGTATATGTTAAATTTTTAAATAAACACGAAGGACCTAAAATTGATGTTTTTTTTTTTGAGGGGGGGGGTCTTGAACATTAAATATATTTGTATTTGATTTAACATTTTATAACAATTTATTAATATTCGAAAACAAGAAGTAAAAATTAATGATAATTTAAGATTGTATAAATGACTAATACTTAATTGAATGTTTGAAAATGTATAACCAATGGACATTGAACATTTATCAAATATTACATTGATCATTTTTAAATATTTATTAAATATTGGATAAATATATCTATGCTGTGTGGATGGTATTACATGATTTGATGGCATCGTGTCGATGACGGATGATACTTTCCCGACGGTCAACGGTATTTTCTAATCAAGATTAGTCAAAACAATCGTCAAAAAGCGTAGCTGATTACTAGTCGACATATTTTAACGGTTTTTCTTGTCTATTAAAAATATTGCATGTTTATCGCACGCGTAATCAAAGTGAAACTGTAATTAAATCACTTAAACACCTACCGTACGGAAATGAACACACTCAAAGGTATTCAATAAAATTATAACAAATATTTAATAATTATGTATATTATTATACATAATTCTCACTTTTATTATTCTTGCCGAGAACCATTTGTCTTCGACAACTATTAACAAGCATTAACACAATATTATTCAGTGCATTTTGTCTCCACACATTAACAGTACCGTTGATATAGGTGCAAATAAGGTTGGACGGGGCTAGAGGTCTTAGCCCCAAAAAATAAAACCAATTAAATCTACATTGTATACTGTATAAGCTCCTCAAATCTCATTTGCAAACACTATTTGCGCCCATGATCAATGACCATAATATTATTTATTTTCTTACGTCCAAGCATTTATATTGCTTATACATCTACTATAATTATAAAATATGGTGTCATATTTATATAATATGGTGTCTACTAATTTTCTGATAATGAACTTGGCAGTACATCTACAGTCGTTCCCAAGTCCGATTTCAAAATATGTCCGTGTTCAAAACTTCAAATAAAACTTCAAGCAAAGCTTTAGCTGATGAAAATGTCAACTTCATTTTTGCTATATTAATTTGAATACATTTGTAATGAGGTTGCGATAGGCCGATTACGATTCAAGTGAACAATGGACTATGGAATTGCGAGTCAACTTGAGTCTCCAAATCCCGAAGTTCGAGAATTGACATTTGAGATTTGATTCAGAGACAGACAAAAGAGTTTGGAGATTTCAGAGTCGATTCACTGATTCAACTCATTCCTACATAATGGTATAATATAAATTATGATTTGTTGCACGAAACACGATGCAATTTATCTATAGATAGGGGCGTCATTTCCGCTGTTCAAATGGCAGGGAAACTTAAATCATCTAAAAATTTGTTGTACGGTAAAACCTTGATAAGACGGAATCACTTGGGACCATGATATTTTTCTGTGTTAACGGGGTTTCCGTCTTACCGAAGTTCCGTTTTATCGAGGTTTTACTGTATATCCATTTATATAAATACGTATAGAATTATATAGGATTTCCATGGAAGTTTAATGCATAATAACGATTGTCATCATACGAGGACCTTGTGTTTCCAATATTTTAATAATCTGTATTTATAAAATAATAATATGTATTTATAAGAGAATATTATCTGATTTTTTGCACAAAATACAAATTTACCGATTTAAGAGATCATCGGGCAAAGAATTGCCGACTTTTTAAAATGTAGGGCATTTGCTATTGTCTGCCTCTCCCTCCAAAGTTAAACCCCTGTCTATAGATACAAATAAATGTGATTATGATGGTGGATGATGTATAACCTACTGATTATATTGACTACTGCGAACACAGGATTTTTTACAGTGAGGGGGGTTGTGCTATTAATAATTTTCTGTAGGGATTAATTTTGTTCAACCCTATATAAATGTATAGTAAAACGTTGATAAAGGAAGACATTTCGAAGTAGGTTATAACCTTTGAACCTTTCTCTCATGCAAGTGCAACTGCTTATAACAAAAGTTGACAGATGAAATTGTGATGAAAAAAAAAAAAAATGGGAAAAACGGACAATCGAGGTTTTACTATATACATATAATACGAGTATGTACTTATGATGATTATATTGTATACATATTCATATACGATACAATGTTCAATACCTAAAATCATGAGCTACATACTTAAAATTAATATTCAATTATAATTAATCAATTTCAAATAATACCTTGTGGAATGCTTATACTATATTTTATGATTTTATTGGAGATGTTTGCGCGTGAAGTAAGTAGGTTCACGACAGTGGCATAGCTATCATAGGGCAAAGTGGTATAGTGCTCCGGGGTCTTTGGGATCCTTCGATATTTCTGAGACTATAGGTACTAACTTAAAATAATTGGTAATGTTAATATATTTAACAGAAAATTCGCAAATCATACATGGTAATTTCAATTAAAATCAGTATCAATATAGAATAATAATTCACGAAATATGCAATGTGTTTTTTATAGTAATACTGGATTTACTTTTTTCTTTGTGTATCTATTAATCATTTGTTAATTATTGTTATTTATCCTTTCATCGTGAGTGTTCACATTTTAAAAGACAATATGACGTGTATAGTTTCAATTTTCGTATAAAAATTATATTAGTTAGGAACTATAGTATACTTACGGAACAACCCAGGTCCTTTCCTATGTAGACACGCCTCTGGTTCATGATTTCATAGGTTAAATAGCGTAAACAAGTTAAGTATTAAACTCACGACTACTATTAATAACAATTTTACAATAGTGAGTATATCCAATAGGTATAGATATAAGTAGTAATAATATTCATTACTGCTACTAATAAAAATAAAAGTAATTACTTTTGTTATAAATTACTCGATAAACTATATTGGCATCATAATATAATAATATTTTTTTATTAGTATTTTTATTTATGTTTATTCTAAAAGCAATGTTTCATAAATAATAATTTTTCATTAGTAGATTCATAGTAAATAATTATATCAAAATATAAATAACAACTATAGAACAGGCATACTATAGTCAAATATTGAAATATTTTATTAATTTACGTACAGTTTTACGAGTGTTAAAAGTGTTAAAACGTTAAATAAATAACTCATTAAATAGTGTCGTAACTATATTTATATATATTTATTAAAATAAAGCCTAGTAATTCATACTTTTCCGTGATATAATAATTATTTCATTAAAATTTAATGAAAATTTAAAGTTTTATAGGACACGAACGGAATATTTTCTTCATGGGTTTTTAACTACACTTGATTAGGTGTTCAGGAGTAAATATATATATATATAAATGGCGTATTTAAAAAAATTATTTAGGATATTTTAGAAATTCAAAATGCTCTTGGACCTGTAGAACAAAAATTAAATGTATAAACATAATAATTTTTACCAAACTTATATTTACATTATAAATATTATAGTAATGTAGGTAGTCAAAACGATGTGAAGAGCTTACCAAATTGGTTAACTTTGAAATAAATCAACACTTATTTTTATTATCATTTACGTCGATCACTTTAGTGCAGTGATGTATTTTAGGTGTTTTATCGGAGGGAATCCAACATTTATTGAACTCCGCCGTTGCCGTCTCAATTTATCTGAACCACAATGGGACAGTCAAGATTAAACAGTCTTGAAATCTTGCGAATAGAACGTGAAATATCATTTTTAATAGACAAGGATGAAGTAATACAAAAATTCAGCACCACTGCAGAATGCGAAAGCCACCGATTACTACTACAGTAAATTATATTATTACTGCAGTAAAAAACTAATAAATATTTTATATCTGTACCTGTATATACGTTCAGAAACCGTATCTATTACTTAGAAATATAAACATTACATATTATACAAATCTAAATGATAGTTTTTATTTAAAATATAATTTTTATAAAATAAAAGAATTGTTTTGTTTAATGTATTCATATGGTGTTTAAGATAATTATACATATTTTATTGAAAGTTATTAATTATATACCCTATTAATAGTATATATTCATAATTTATACTAATTTCTAATAAATATGTGTTTAAAGTTAAAATATTTTTGTTGAGATTGTGTACTAATAATGTTAAATTAAGAATAAAACAAAACTTTATAGGGGGGTGTGGGACGCTAAGCTCT